TCTTTAAGCACCGGTTCGAGCACCGTTTAAGCACCGGCACCGTTTCAAAAGTACCGATTTGGCACCGGTATCGGATAAAACCTAAACGATACCCATCCCTACTCATACTGCAATCCTATACCAGAGAAATCCAAGATCAGTTTCTCACCTTGTCTGTGACATGGAAGAGCTGTAGGTACTTGAAGAGCAGTTTGATGTCTGAGAGGCCAGCGCAGGCCTGCTTACTCTGAGACATTTTATGGTCCTGAAGGAGGCGCTCAGCCAGGTCCATTCCACCTGCATTACATCCAGCACAGTCAGTCTGTGTGTTGCACAAGCGATTCCCTTGGCATGCTCTATTTCATCATTGTGGTGGTACAAGATAAAATGTTTAATGTTGTGTTTCTGAGTCTGTGGGAGTGCAGCATAAGCTTGGACCACATTTTATTTGATGCTGAAGAAAAAGAGCTAAAAAATGCCTCCGCTGAACAGCTGACAGTTCAGGTCACGCTGATTGTTCTACAGACATCAGCTGTGTGGATGTTGGGCACAGTCTCACCCTGCATGCTGACGTACTCCCCAATCTGGTCGGCAGCCTCCTCTGACAGGCCCTTCTCATTCACCATCTCTTTCTTCACGTCCTCCCAGGACATCTAGAGGAGGACACGGGTAAGGATTTCAATTCAACTTTATTTATATAGCACCAAACCACAACAACACGGTGCTTTATGGTGTAACATAAAGACCCAACAATAATGCAGAAAAAAACCAACATGAAGATGACCCTGTGTGAGCACTTGGTGACAGAAGAAGGAAAAACTCCCTTTTAACCAGGCTCAGGTAGTCCATCTCTCAGGTAGTCCATCTCTCATGTAGTCCACCTCTCGGGTAGTCCATCTCTCGGGTAGTCCATCTCTCATGTAGTCCACCTCTCAGGCAGTCCACCTCTCAGGCAGTCCACCTCTCAGGCAGTCCACCTCTCAGGCAGTCCACCTCTCAGGCAGTCCACCTCTCGGGTAGTCCACCTCTCGGGTAGTCCACCTCTCGGGCAGTCCACCTCTCGGGCAGTCCACCTCTCGGGCAGTCCACCTCTCGGGCAGTCCACCTCTCGGGCAGTCCACCTCTCGGGTAGTCCATCTCTCGGGTAGTCCATCTCTCATGTAGTCCATCTCTCAGGTAGTCCATCTCCTGTGACCGGTTGTGTGTTTGACTAATGACTAATGTCAGAGTGGTGCATAAACACACGGTGAGTAAAAAGAGGTGAGAGATGGAGAAACGCTCAGCAGCCTTGTAACGAATGACCGTGAGCAGCAGGGCTGCAATCATTGCAGGCATAGACGGGACTACAGCACAGTCCACGTTTGTTATATTTACCAACATAACATGGCAGCTCTGTGGAGCACTAGTTATACCCATCTGCTGATAAGCCACACCCTCATCATAACCTGCCAAGCACCGAAGCACTGAGCCTTGTATTTAAAGACAGTTCAACACAGAGCTCTTTGGTGACACCTGGTGCCAAAAATATGACGAGCAGCTTGAATCTACAACTTGAAGTGAAGTGCTGCATTATGATTGGCCACTCAGAGCTGAAATGACAGCTTCTGTTTAACATGATAATGTGACAGTTCAGTCTGACATCGGGCTGATGTGGTGCTTTTTACCTTCCTCATGTAAACATGCACCATGGTGTGTTCTCCCTCTGCTTGGGACTTCTTGATGTTTTGTATTAATTAAAAAAACAAACACTATATATTAAGTACAACACGATGTTACAATAGGTTGGGAGTATGCTTGTGCAGTGAAGTCCCTGCCTCCATGTGATACGTTTAGATATACTGCAGCTGTGTTTTCTTACAAATTATAACTCTCATTATGTCACACACTAGTTCGCTATCTGTCGCAAAAAAATCACCAATGATTCAATTCGTTATGTCTGTGAAGGTTCTCAGTCATCCAGGTCATCGTAGTCAAAGGAGCTTGCAAAGAAAAGCGTCTGGACTTCTTTAAGTTGCTTGAAGACGTTTC